GGTGTCGACTTGTTGAAGGTGTCCTCTCCAGGCTGACAACCCTCTAGCCCCAGGGTAGTCAGGGGCTCTGGGAAGCATCCAGAATGGATGGGAGAGGAGACCCCCCCATGGCTTCTCCTGACAGGCCTGTTCAGCAACCTGCTCTCTGCTTTCTTGTCCAGAGATCCCATCCCCACAGACTACTACAACTGGGGATGTTCCCAGAAGCCCCCAGAAGGTAGGTGGGGGCTGGGGTGGGGAGGATGTAGAAGAGGAGGTAGCCCTTAGGTCAGGATGGGTCTGCAGAGATGGTGAGCGGTGGAGGGAGGGAGGGAGGAGGACGAGCTACAGGCCGGGGCGGAAGGAAGCTGGTCAGCATGCAGGCAGAGGATGGGGACAGAGCAAGCAGAGAGCAAGGGACAGGACAGGAAGCAGAGGTGGAGCTGTGGGTGGGAACATCTGAGGAGAACAGCTCACTGTCATCTGGGGCTGGGCAGACACAGATGGGCACTGGTGACAGATATAAGCTGTGTGAGCTTGGAGGATGCTGGAGCCTTTGGTCATGACCACTTCTGCTTTACAGAGGAGAGCAGGGCGGGGAGCAGAGCCTATGGGGAGGAGCAGGGCCTTTAGCTGGGGTCCTCACCTGGTCATAGTAGTCTATCAAGGGTTCTTCTTCCTCCTTCCTTCCAATTTCTTCTCCTCCTCCTTTATTGTTTTAATACATTTTTAAAAAAATGTCCATTGTTAGGATGTGGTTGCACACTTGTGGAGTCAGTGCTCTTCCTTAACTATGTGGGTCCGAAGGACGGGACAGGACTCAGCAAGTGCCTTTACTTGACCTTTATTCTAATTTTGTAATAAAGGTCTCTTGCCAGGCATGATAGCACATGCCTTTAATCCTAGCACTCAGATTTTTGTGATTTTGAGGCCAGCATGGTCTTCATAGCAAGTTCTAGGACAAACAGGGCTACACAGGGAGACATTGTCTCAAAACAAAACAAAGCAAGACCACCAGGAGCAACAACAACAAACAAACATGACAGTTCCAGGCATGCACCGGCACCGGCACCAGCATACACACAAAACAAAAAACAGCCACAGATAAACTGGTCTAAGCTAATGAAGAAACCCCTGAAGCCCAGGGGAGAGCTTGGTGGGCCTGCAGAGGTAGCAGAAGCAGGAAGGGACATGGGGCTTGCAGACGGGGTCCACCAGCAGGTCTCCTGCCAGCTCCCTTCTGTTGACAGATGATGACTCCAACTCCTACGAGAATGTGCTCATCTGCAAGCCCACTGCCCCTGACTCAGGTAAGGCCGTCTCCCCCAAGAGAGGCAGAGCAGGGGCCAGCACCCTCATGAGTAAGACTTGAGTTCGAAAGACTCAGCCCTTGCCTGCATTCTCCATGTCTCTGGTGTCTCTGAGTCAAGTTTACCCATCCAGGGGATTGTCTTCCTCCCTGGGGTCATCCTCAGTGGAAGCAGGCTGCCCCTGGCTCCCTGGACCTACTCAGTGTGTCCCTGTACCCTCCCTTAGGTGGCGAGGAATCTGAGGATTACCAGAACTCAGTATGCATCCGAGAGTGGCGAGAATCCAGGAGGACTGTGGGTATGTCCCCCATGGGCAGAGGCCGCCAGGAAGGGGTGTGGGGGGTGGGGGATGGTATCAACTCAAGCAGGCAGCTGGCTGACCCAGGAGGGTCAGGGTGGGGGGGTTCCCCTCCAGCCAATCTGGCTGGCTTCACAGAACCCGAGGCTGTAGAAGCCTTGTGCTCTACCAGAATTTCCCTTGGCAGCAGCTTGACCTCCAGAGCTGATCACCCAGTCTTGAAACAGGAGGACACCTCCCCTGTGCCATTTGTGGGGTCTTGAGCACCCTGGCTGGGGAACTACCGGTATAATGTATGCCTGTGAACTGTCCCAGCAACCACCTGTCCTGATCCATAGGTGCACAAGTGTCACCATCGGGAAGCCCAGATGAGGAGCCAGATTATGTGAATGGGGATGTGGCTGCGGCTGAGAAAGTCTAGGAGAGAATCAAACGGAAGGATGGTACGGCACCCTCTCACTGCTCAGAGTTAGCAGCCCAAGTCAAGCAAGAGCCTGTGCAGGGGAGGAGCTTCATATAGTGATGCATAGCCCCATGGGTGCTCATCAGCTATTAGGACCAGCAGGGAGATGCTTACTGAAGGCCACCGGTTTCTTCCTGTGGGACTAGGGCATCCAGAAGAATTAGGTTCACCCAGGTGACAGATGGATGCATACCTGGTCAGAGGCACTGGAGGTGTCTAGCAGAGATGTCTCAGAAGTGGAGCACTTACCCTACAGTACACCAGTGGGGGATGGAGGCATGGCTTGGCCATAGAGTGATTGTCTGGTATACCTGAAGTCCTGGGTTTCATCTTCAGCACTGAAAAGCAAAACAAAAAACTAAAAAATTAAAAATGTAAAATGAAGAAGCCAGGAGGCACAGTGACCCATGACTCCACCTCCTAAGTGCCTGGGATCTCAGCACTTAGGAGGTGGAGGCAAGAAGATCAGGAGTTCAAAAGCAGCCTGGGCTCCATAATGACTTTGGAGCCAGAGATGTGGTCTTAAACAGTAGAACTTGAGAGATGCCTCCGTGTAAGCACAGGACATGAGTTGAGATCCCCAGCACACACCTGTCATCTGGTGCTGGGGAGGCCGATCTCAGGGCTCATTGACCAGCCACCCTAGCAGAAACAATGAGCTCTAGGGGGACAATGAACAGGAAGATATTCAAAGTTGATTTCTGGCTTCCATGTGACACACACACACACACACACACACACACACACACACACACACACACACACACACACGGGTGGGAATGGAAAGAAGGAAGGAAAGAAAAATGGAAAATCAGCTAAACAATAAAATAGATAAGATGCTGGGCGTTGGTGGCGCTCGCCTTTAATCCCAGCACTTGGGAAGCAAAGGCAGGCGGATCTCTCTGAATTTGTTTGAGCCTAGCCTGGTGGTCCACACTTTTTTTTTTTTTTTTTTTTTTTTTTTTTTTAAAAGGGGGTTTTCTTTTGTAGCCCGGCTGGCCC